GAGAGACTCTGCAAAGATGGGTTCTTCGCAGCCCCAAACAGAGCATCCTCCCCTGGCTCTAAGGGCCTCATTTCGATTCATGTCCGTGGACCTTGCTAATCATACAGCAGAATCCGGATGATGTCTGCGAAAACCATTCCATGCCAGGTAAAAGGCCTAGAGTTCCGCTTAATGAGGGCTGATGATTTATCATCCAAGATTTTGCGGTGCGGCAACCAGGGGGTGGCCAGTGCAAAATTCTAACAAGCAGCCCAACGCGTTGCGTTTTGCTCAAAATCATCCGGATAGGATTTATCCACAGCCACCTGAATGAATACCAGGTTTGAAAATAGAAATGAAATCCTACAATTAGTCAGCACGGCTGTACAGTGAAACGTCTGCGCAAGAGAAATGAATTTGGGCTCGCTCTTGTAATGTCAGATCTTTTCAGTTTCTTTTTTGTGACTTCAGGCTAAGAACAGCAACGGTTAAAGAATCAAGCGTCTTCCTGAAAGCTTTTTGCTCGCGTGAGCAAGCAGTGTTCGTCGCGGCCTTTGGTCTCAGTCCGTGGAGGCGATGAGGGCAGAGACTCCGTGTGCGACGCGAATATTCTTGATACGCAGCACTTTTTGAAGCCTCCCGGCAAAGAATACGAGACAAGATTCTTTGCCGTGAATTGGGCAAGGGTAGCTGTTTGACGCGTTTCCGTGAATAGATAAACGCTCAGGAAGACACAGGAAACCAAAACCAGGAGGTTCCATTCGGTCAGACCTTTTACCATGGTAGCATCATCCATTATATCGAGCGATCTGCACAGAAGCAGAAAGGGGCAATGCGTATAAAAGTGAAATGAAACCGAACGACTTACTTTCAATCCCGGATACCACCTCAATATGCTCACGGCACAAATATCTGCGTTGATTTTCCAGGGGTCTCTGGCAGGCAAGCTTGTCCGCGGTAACTTGAAACTCCAGAGGCCGGCGCCGGAGAAGTGCAAGGCATCAGACAAACAGGCGTGAACTGCCGGATTCCAGCTGCGCCGACTCCTCCGCGGTGATGCGCGATGAGGAAAAGAGAGGAAATGGTGCAAGGCTGGAGCGCCGGCGTCGGTTTGCTGGTCGAAGGCACATCGTTGTCGCTAGTGGCCCAAGCGCCCTTTCAACGGGCACCTTAGCCGCTCTGGAGAGTTCGCCAGGCAGACGTATCAGTACCTGAATCGTACCGGGCCGTCGATGGCTTAGTAAGAGCGATTGGCGTTGGGTTGGGTTGTCGAGTGGCCGATGATTCGCATGGCTGAGATGGAAGTGGCCTCAGTGGAAAGTCGAGATGCAAACCGCCATCTTTGGCTTCTGTCACGGCCATGGCGGAATCAGGGTCGCAGCAGCAGTGGTCAGATTTTAGATGGCAGAGCACGATGCCAGGGGTGCGAAAGTCTAGAAAGATTCTGCAACCCTCGGATCTGCAGCGATGCAGAGGTTTCTGTACCACCGCGAAGTACTGCCAGGTACTTATACGGGCAAGTCTCACTGGCAGTTAGGGGCGATGCCTTAGCGGCGCATCAGGCCCTGAAGCGGCCCTTCTTTAGCGGCGCGAGTCGCTTAAAGCTGTTCGTGCTACGGAGCACAGCGAGCATAGGCGGTGTTTGACACGTGGTAGCGCGGGGAGCTTGCTGGAACTACACGTCGTCAAGATGGTGTCGCAAGCCTCATTTCCTTTGGCGGACATCCATCCGTCCAGTCGCAGACAGCGTTCACGCTCCGCGCCTCGCTTAGTCCAGTTCGATTTGCACATTTGCCAACCCGGAGTCTACGACTGAATCCCCGTCACATGGACTTTCTCAAATCTGCCGTGGCTTCGGCCATATCGCAGGGCCCTCCTTTCCCTTACACATTCGGCGACAAGGTCGACGTGGACGAGTCCATCTGGACATTATACAATGGAACAAGGCGGGTAAGCTTTGGTGCGGAAACCGGCCAGGCATTACACCAGCTGACCACCGTTTTAGGAGGACGGATCAAACTGCAGCATCTTCTCATTCGACATCACGGCGAAGAAGAGTCAGCTGCCGCTCGCCAAGAATGCGCTGAGGAAGCTGCGAACATTGCGACACCCCGGCGTTATCAAAGTCCTAGACACTGTCGAGGTATGCGAAGCGATACGACCGTCTTAGCCACGCTTCGGAGCTGATTTCCAAGCAATTAGACAGATACATACATCTACATCGCCACCGAGCGTGTTGTTCCTCTTCGGTGGCACGTCAAACGGAAGAGCTTGAGTCCCGAGACGATTAAATGGGGCATATACACAGTCGCTGTAATATCTTACTGGGAAATTAAAACTTACGATACCCAAACGCTAATTGTTATGCAGCAAACCCTCAAGTTTATCAACGACGATGCTTCCTCAAAGCACGGAAGTCTGAAAGTCGGCTCAATATATACGTCAGAAAGCGGAGAGTGGAGACTGGGCGGCTTTGAAGTTTTAAGCAATGTTAAGGAGAGCGAGACTACTCTTGACGTTAGTTTCTGGATCGTCCAAGTATAAAGTTACAAGTTACTAATATTACTAATACGTTGTCTAGAGTTATGGAAGCTTAGTTCCTGATTCTGGCCGATATGCGCCGCCTGAAGTGGCTCAAGGAGGATGGGGAGCAACCAAGTCACATCCTCTTTACGCCCTGGACTCTTTCAACTTTGGAACCCTGATATTTGAAGTCTTCAACGGCGACTTTCTTGGCCCAGATCAAGCTGGCCAAACCAAGAACGTGCCCCCTACAATGCATACTGCCTACAAGCGTCTTTGCAACGCCAATCCTAAAGCGCGGATAAGCGCTGGCAACTTCCTTGACATGGGGCGCCGATCCGGCTCGTTTTTTGATACCCCTTTGATCCATTTGACGGATGGAGTAGACAACCTGGGAATGAAAAACCCTGATGAGCGAGATGAGTTCCTCGAGTAAGCATCTTTTCTGCCATCATTATTATCATGCTCCTCCATCTAACTCATGAGTTTGCCAGCACCTTGGAACAAGTAACGGATGACTTTCCTGAAGAATTTTTCAAAGCCAAAGTTCTTCCGGAATTAGTAAAGTCTGTCGAATTCGGCGGCGGTGGTTCCAAAGCTCTCACTGTTGTGCTGAAAATAGCTGCGAAACTTCCCTCGGATGATTTTGAATCGAAAATCACACCCTTCATTGTTCGCGCTTTTGCTAATCCTGATCGGGGTATCCGAGTATGCCTGTTGGATGGCCTGCCCCTAATAATTGAACAATTGTCGCAGAGGATTGTCAATGACAAGATATTTCCACAGCTAGTATGTTGCTTGCTGATTGTTTTGAAGAATGGGGAAGCTAATAAGGATACAAGGCCACCGGTTTTACAGATGCAGCCCCTGTGGTTCGAGAACAGACATTGAAATCAGTACTGGTCGTCATTGGGAAGTTATCAGACCGTACCATTAATGGCGACCTTCTGAAGCAGCTAGCAAAGACTGCAAATGACGAACAACCTGGTATTCGTACGAACACAACTATCTGCCTTGGCAAGATTGCAAAGAATCTCGGGACATCATCAAGATCAAAGGTGCTAATAGCTGCCTTTACCCGTTCCTTACGCGATCCTTTCGTGCATGCCAGAAATGCCGCGCTTATGGCTTTGGCCGCAACAGCGGACTATTTCACTGAAGATGACTGTGCCATCCGGGTCTTACCAGTGGTTTGCCCAGCTCTGATTGACAAAGAAAAGATGATCCGAGACCAAGCATCTAAAACAATGGACATTTATCTACAAAAAGTTCGCAAAGCTGCTGCTGCTATGCCAGACACCGTTTTGCCACCACCTCAGTCGACTGATGCTACCGTTGTGCAAGCAAACCCGGCACAGCCAAGTGCGTCTCCGGGAGCCAGTTGGGCGGGATGGGCCATCTCATCTTTCACAAACAAATTAACTGCTGTTGCTGGAGATATGCAAACAGAAGAGATACCAACTCCGGCCGCTGTTTCCCCATCGCCCAAGCCTGAGATGAAGAGACCAAGTACCTCATCAGCATCGGCTCTTCACCGTCAAGCTGTGGCGTCACCTCCTCCTATAACTTCAGGCCCATCAACTCCTAGCGTTGCCAGTGCAATTGCTGGACAATTCTTACCAGACGACGACGATGATGCAGGTGATGCATGGGGCGATCTACCGGATGACGATCCCTTTGATACACCTTCTACTGCCACCAATAAATCTGCATCTGCGTCCGCGTCTGTGTCTGCAACGCCATTCGGTGAAGATGAGCCCGATTTCGCTGGATGGCTGGCGGCGCAAGCGAAAAAGGGACCCAGCAAGCCTCTACCGAAAGGACTTTCAAAACCTAGCACCGCTAAAAAGCCTGCAGCAAAAGCTGCCGCGAAACCTGCGGCGAAGCCAGCAGCAAAGCCTGTGGCTAAGAAGATTGACCTGACACCTAAAGAAACGGAGGAGGATGACGATGGTTGGGGCGACGGCTGGTAGATTTGGAACCGTTGTGCCAAAATGGTGTTGAAGTACATGGATACACGTATATACCTTAGGTAGGCAGGGTATTGATGGTCTCAATAATGTAGTGAAACGACACAGCCGGCGTTGTGGTTAGAACTGGAATTTGAATATCACGCTTCCTCGTTTTCTCTTTTCATCCACTGTAAATATATAAAATGACGTAGCGCGTCTTCTATTTTCTTCAAGAACTTCCACTCCGGAATATATATATGTATTTGATCTGTTATTTCTCAAACTCATCTTCAGATTCTGGGGTTCAATGCTTCAAGATATCCATGCTGAATACTAGAGTGCTGCACTGCTAAAGCGGCCAAGACACTAGCGACCGCCAGCGCCTTCGGCAAAAAGCCGGCGGTGCATAATTTGCGTATCTAAGCTTATCGGCGGCTCCAGTCGAAAAGGAAAAAAAAAAAAATATATCCCACACCACCTAACCCAGAAAACGCTCCTTTGTCCATCTTTTTCCACTGCGATTCAAATCGACCAGAGGAGGACAAGATGGCGCAAGGCTCAATCAAAAAGTCCAACAAGGCCGCCGCGCCAAAGGCCATCCACTCGAAGCGCCAGGCATCCAAGGTCACCAAGCCCAAGAAAGCAAAGAGCGCCGACAAGCTCCTCAAGAAATTCACATCAGGCATGGTGGGAAAGACGGAGGCGCTGCTGGGCGAGAGGGCGGGACATCTCGAGCTGATTGGGCCGGGGAAGAAGGGCAGCAAGAAATTGTCGCAGAAGGGAGGATCCAAGAAGTTTGGCTAAGAGAGGAGAGAAAGAAAACTGAAGGGACGTGCGAGAATGCAGACGAGAGAGAGCAAGATGGAATCTTGGCATGGCATGGGGCAGCGCATTTGAACTACGAGCGATGATTTTTTTCTCTCTTATTGGCGTTGAATTTCTTTTCATTTTTATCCTCTACAATACCCATAAGAGGGGCCGATTTCCTTCATAAAATTTACACTTTTTCGATGTCGAATTCGCGACCCTCAGCAACGGCAGTCAAAAGCGCTGACACGACTCGAAACTCTCTTTCGATATCGACCATCCAGTTCGAGACGGCGACTCTCACAGCCTTTTCGCCTTTCCAGCTCGTACCGCTCACGTACATCTGCCTCGTTGCATTGATCTTCGCCACCAGCTCGTCATTCAACTTCCTATCTTTCGCCCTGAACAAAACGATTATAAAGACCTCTTCAACATCAGCGCTCTCGTCAGGGAGGAGCTCATAGTGCGGCGACTCTCGCAGGAAAATGGCCAGTTTCCGCGATAGTTGGGCCATGTTGTGACATAGCTTGGCATAACCAGGGCGGCCCTGGCTGAGGAGAGCGGCGTAGGCTGGCAGCGCGCGGAAGCGTCTCGAGTTTTCGAGGCCGACATTGAGAGGAGATGGGATGCTGGCTACTGCGCCCGAAGCGAGGTATGCGGCGTTTGGGTTGACGCAGACGGATTGAAGGATAGACGGGGTGCGGGTGAAGAACATGCCGCAGTCATATGGCTGAGGATTGTTAGCGATACGAACCAAAGCATTGGTTTCTAAAGGGGATCGAGAATGAGTGGGAGGTGCAGGTTTTACATACAACGTTGAGCATTTTATGGCCGTCAACTGTAATGCTGTCGGCCATGTCGACACCTTGAGCTCGAGCATGAAGCAGTCGATATTCATCTCGGTCCTCTTCCAGGGCCCGGCTGAAAATACCAAAGGCTGAAATTAGAAAAAGTTAGTACCACGAGGATTGTCCCTCTTTGTCTAGCCATCTTTTGTCCTTGTATATAGGTATATAGGAGGCAACGTACCTCCATCCACATGAATCCATGCAGCATGTTGATCTGCTAGCTCTCTCAACCTCTTCCATTCGTTGATATTATCAAGGGCATAGCCACCCGTGTTCACTTCTCCCATACTAACAGCAATGATGCTCGCCGCTCCAGGACGACCCAGTTCTCTCTCCACCGCGTCAAGATCCAACTTCCAAGGCTGGGCTGCGCTTCGAGGAAGCTCCTTGACCGAAGCTCTCCCCAGACCAACTATGCTTGATGCCTTGGAGAGCGAACTGTGGCCTCCGCTGGTAAGGACTTGAATCTCCGAGACCCCTGCCTTGGCGCAAGCGCCCAGCAAACCCAGTTCACCCACGGACGCACCCTTCTTCTCAAGAATAGCCTCTCGACCACAGGCTAAACCGAGCACATTGCTGGCAGTTGCTCCGGTGGTGAAAGTCCGGCCTTTCCAATCTGATTGTGTTAGGCGAAGCAGGCTCAACAGCATCTCCAGAGCGGTGTTCTCGACCATTGTGGACACTGTCTGCTCAGGCAAATGGACTTGGACGTTTTGATCCATGCGAGAGACGACATTGTCGGCCCATTCAGCCACGGGGAGGACGCCGCCGGTGACGAAGCCGAAATAGCGGCTCGATTGGGACTGGCCACATAACGCTGGGACAATGTCCTTGGTGATGTGGGAAGCAACTTTGGTGGCAGGCTGGCCGGAAAGGTAGCCTGGGTCGGATGAATTGGGCAGAGAGGCCTCGGCGGCGTGGATGAGATTGAGAGGTGGGAGGGTGTTGTATTGCTGAGATTGCGGGGGCAGGCCTTGCCGCTCGAGGCGTGCGGATTGAGCTTGAATGTCGAAGAGGTCTGCCATGATGGAGTTGTGAAAATTATCCAGATTATAAAGGACGCAGTAAAGGGCTATAAGTGAGAAATTACACGGGTGAGTATGTTATAAAGAGATGGCTGTAAGTTGCTGCCCCGCCAATAGGACCTAGCAGGTAATAGCAATTACAGAAGAACCTAAAATTGGAAATCAAAGAACAATGAAGGAACAGAAGAAAGAACCCGAGTGGGCATTTATATCAACTGTATCCATCGTGAGTAGAGTCTTGGGCCATCAGCTCAGTACCCATTCTCCACTTGGCTGCTCCAGACCGCAGCATAGATTCGCAAAGTCTTTCTCACGCGTGCTCTGCTCGCAAGTTGCTGCCACAGCTCGCCAGCGTAGGCCTGTTTTAGGCATAACGTGACGGTGCCGGCGTGCTTAGCGCAGGAACCTCGCCACGGCTGTTATTTGTCCCGACGTCTCTGGAGTGTAGAGAGGGTGGAACGAATCAATCGAGTCATCAAACATGTAATAGAAATTTACTATTGGCTAGAAAGAAAGTTGGTAAACTAGTGGTTGAGACTTTCGCTAGATGTAGGATTTTTATATTTCTTTTATATAATTGATGTGGTTTTGTTGATTATATGATCAAGTGTAGGCGAGACTTGCTTCATTGTCTGGGCATCACAAGCGAAACAATGTGGGACAGACAGCTTCAGTTGAAAGTAGGAAGCAAGCATTTTCTAATCTCTTGGGGGTGGAAAATATTGTTTCTTTTTATTTCTATCATGACTCCCTCGTAAGTGATATAAGAGGGTTATTACAAAAACTATACAGCGGTGTAGCAGTATCTGATATCCTAAAATATCTACATATGTTACTATCAAATTAAGAATCAGATACAAAGCGCCTGTATGGAAGTCACTATTCCCAGCATAAGTTGGATGAAAACAATGCTACATTTATCTCATAGATTATTGCTTGGTAAGTCGCATAGCAGCAAAGACGTAATGAGGCCAATACTCGGACACCTCGTGACAATTGGCTGAACATTATTCTTTCCTACCAGAAGCATCTCTCTTCTATTTCATGTGTACCTACCTACGTAGGTATGTAATCAATTTCTTGTTATAGAGTATTAGTCCACTACAGTGCCTAGTTCAACACATATATAAGAATGCTGCTCCCATTCGTACAGCCCACCTCCTGATGTGGCTGCTATCAAACACTTTTGTGCAAGGACTGGCTATTCATATCATCTCCAGGAGATAATGGACCAATTAAAAAAAGAATATATCCCATGCTAACTGTCAAATAGTAGTATTTCTTGAACCTGTGCTTACAAATGTAATAAAGCAGCCAATTCCATTCATGACATTTATACACTTCGGAATGTAAAAGAAGCGCGTTGACATACATTTACAAGACGATCATTTGAATGTTATGATTCCTCGACATTTTCATCGTGGCTCTCGTTTCTAGCGCGCAAGCATGGTGAAATATCAGTGCATAGCCCAAGGTAAATGGAAGAGAAACTCGGAAACCCCCAGCTATCGCATGTCTTTGGCTGTATCCAATTGTCTATTACCAGAGGTATATATATAAACGCCCAAATAGAAAATCCGACAAAAGATGCATGTATACAAAGCAAAGAAGACATATATATTTCCTTTACAGCTTCGGGGCCTCCTTGACGGTACCAATCTTGTATTTGCCGCCGTACTTCTCCAGCACGCTCTCGTTGTGGTACTTCCAGAAAGCCTTGGTCGCGTTCTTGCCGGCAAAGCGCTTCAGGATCTTGGAGCCGCCGGGGTGCTCGTCGAGGAACTCTAGAGGTTGATGCGCAGTTGCGCCTTGTTAGCTAGAGCCCATTGTCTACTTTCTTTTTCGTCCGCTGTACTCGCTCTCTTACGCGCGCGCGAGAGAGAGAGATAGAGAATATAGCAAAAGGGGGGTAACGCACTTGTGACATCGTAGACGCCGTCCTCAACAATGAGCCAGAAGCCGTTCGCATCGTCCTTGTGCGAGCTGACGTCGGCTGTGGTGAAAGACTTGTCGGCCATTTTGTTTGTTTGCGTGTTGCGATGTGAGCTCGGCGGTGAAAAGGAAGAAGTGGCCAAAAAATCAATCTCTGTTGAAATCGTTCGCTAACTTCGCAGAGCAGTATGAGTAAATGGGGAAAACACAGAAGTAAGATGACAAGTAGAAGAAGAAGACGACGATCGGTAGAAATGCCGGACCTCACCTGGAAAAAGGGCGCCCCAGTTACCTCGGCACGCACAGCGACAGGCGAAAGAGGGTCAGCGCTATGCCTGCTTCGCTCAGTGGACAAGCGCCCCGGATTTGGCGGGCTTGGGGTAAACCGGGTGGCCTGACGAATGATGAGGGGCGGATTGCAAAGGTCTCGTGAGCCGAGGTTTGTCATATGCTATAAAGCACGCTTAACACATCAATGCAAGCAAGTTTAACCCCGAGAGAGCAGTGGGATATTAGATGACATCTACTTGTCAATGTTTAGTTACAAGTCAGTTTAGATTGATACCTGGCAGGCAATGTCCCATCATTAAAAATCCAATGACTCAGTTTCATCATGTGAGAGTGGCATCGCCAAATGGTTATTAATCGATGAGTGGATGTGAATTTCCAACTTCCTTCGTATCATGTTCTTCCAGTACATCAAACCTATATATCCTATAGCTCAATCATAACCGACCGCCGCTTCCTCAACGCCTCTCTAAACCTGTCTGCAAACGCCGATGTCGCTTTGCAGTCGCTCTCCATGCGCTTCTTCATCGCCTCCGGCAGCCACTGCTCGATTTTGGTGATCCGATGCTCGTTCTATTGCAATAATGCTCTGTTAGCTTTCTAATTTGTTTCTCAGGCTTGAAGCAACAATTACACGTACCGATGGATGCGTGCTAAGCATCTCGGGAACATCGTTCCCGCCCAGCCGCTGTATTGTCTCCATCCTTTGCCAGAACCCAACTGCCTGTCGGGGATCATAGCAGGCTTCCGCCATCATCATCAGCCCAATGTAGTCGGCCTCGCTCTCTTGCTTGCGGCCCATGGGTAGGTAAAACAGCAAATCTTGCAAGTAATACCCTCCAATCACGTTCCACAGGCCGAACAGCGCCAGACCTGGCAGTGCCCCAGCAAGGAAGAAGAGACTACCGGCTGTAAGATTGCCTACCCACGCAGCAGAGAGTCGCTCTGCGGCATGAGAAGCAGTGTTATGTGCGATTTCGTGACCGAGGACGGCCGCGAGGGCATCTTCGCTGCGGCAAACGTTGAGGATGCCGCTGTGGACAAACACTTTGCCGCCTGGGATAACGAATGCGTTCGCCGTTCCTATTGTATTGCGCCGACACCATATATCAGCAGAGAACAACGATGAGAAATCAATGCGAGGGGTAGCAGAGACTCACGACTGTCCGCAATCACTCGGACTTCCCAGTCTAAATCCTCCATCCCGCTGACAGGAATCAGCCTTTTCATGACCCTCCTGACCAAAATCGTCCTCGGGTCCCAGTCCGACAGGAAATGCCCTCCCTGTTCTTCCACCTGCCTCACAATCGCCTCAGCCGCTCTCACATAGGCCTGCGCAACCAGCGTATCCGACAGGAAGTTGAAGCGCCTCCGCCCCGTCACCGGCACCGTCTGCGAGTTGTACATGTAGAAGGCTATCGCGGCAGCCACCGTGACGACGACCAGAGTGCGCGAGTTACGGCCAGTGCCTGTGTTGGTGAACTTGCTCGCCAAGGCATTGGGCACGAGGGGTCTTGCGCTGCGCAGGCGCTCGTCCGAGTCTTGATGATATGGGCGATTGTTTCGAGCTGATTGCGATAGGGTGCGCCAATTACTGCTGAGGCTGACGTTGCCTCTCGACTTAGAGCCATTGCTTCGAGCGGAGGCCAACAGCGGCACGATTGCCGTGCGAGGGGCCTGGTCAGATAAACGGACGATGCCGCTGCCCCGGAACAAATGGCGGGCGATCATCTTGCAAGAAGACAATTTTTGCTGCCTCTTCTGTGTGCTGCTCCCCCCAGCCGGTGCCTCTTCCAGGGAAAAGCGGCGTTGCTGGGGGTTACGAGGGATTCGTTGGACGGTGAGGCGGAAGTTGGGCGATGGAAAAGAAACAAAATCGAGATGGTGCGCTGAAGTTGATGTCTCGCGAGGGGCTGTATACGTCAGTCCACCGGCTTTGGGAACGGCCTGTACGGAGTAGCGGCACCGCAGTGGCGTGTTAGTGCGTTCGCTTGAAAGTTACAGGGCCCAGGATAAGAATTCTCCGATGCCTCCAGGCTGTTGCTTTCTGACTGATTATCTCATCGTCGCCTCAACGTGTCAAATAACCAAAAAAGCAGCAAGGTCTGTAGTATTGATCATTTTCTTCCATGCTTGTATGGCATTCATCCATCTATTCCTCAACTTCTTCATATTAAGGAAATCAAAGCAGCCCAGTAACTTTGTCTAAACAAACTCAGAGACAAAAGCAGTAAGGCCTATGCCGCTGTCAAGGTTATTCGGCCGTAGATAAAATCCGGACAATGCAACCTACCCTTCCCAAGATGAAGCTAGATCCTGTAAGCTAAGGCATCAGCGCCTAAATGACTTATGAATTCGCCAATCTTACTCTTCTTCTTCCTTCCTTTGAAACTCCCTTTGAACCTGGCTCTCATCTTTGCGTAGGCCATAAGGCATTGACCAAGTTTAAGTGTACTCATACAGTTCAGAACTCTTCTCTGTCTCATAAACCGCCATACTAGTTTCACAACCTCCAACCGCCAATATGAGCAACTCCGACGAGGCAAATACCCTCAAACTCATCACTCCCACCTTCACACCGTCATCCTCCTCTACTGCCGAATCTGCCGGCGTCACTTCCATCATCAAGTCTCTCTCGCTCATTGAGCACGTCGAAGGCGGCTACTTCGCAGTCACCGACGTCAGCAACACCTTCATCCCGTCACCCTATCCCGAAGAGCCCCTCTCGCAGCGCACCATTGATCTCGTCAACGGCCTCCCTGCCGACTACGACCCTTCCAAGCGGCGGCTTTCTACTACAATTTTCTACTACTTGACGCCCAACCGACCCATGGGCTCGTTTCATCGTAACCGAAGCCGCATCATTCACAGTCTTCACCGTGGCCGCGGCCGCTATGTTCTCATCCACCCGGATGGCCGTATTGAATCATTTGTCGTTGGCCACAACGTGGAGCGCGGAGAAAAGCTGCAGTGGGTAGTGGAAGGGGGCGCCTGGAAAGCAAGCTTTCTACTCGCTGATGAGGATGGTCAGTCCAATAGCGATGGCCTGCTCATCTCGGAAACCGTCGTGCCTGGCTTTGAGTACGCTGATCACGAGTTTCTCTCCCAAGAACGCTTGGTCGAAGTGCTCCCTGAAGGCAAAGCTAAGGCTCTTCAGTGGCTAGTTAAACACTAGGCTAGATCGTGTTATTATAGATCCGCGATTCTATGGAGGGATCAAGCTTAAGAGTGAAACATTGGGGCTGTTTTTTTTAGATATTTAATATTTGGAAAAAAAAAAAAAAAAAAAAAAAACGTTCAGATCCAAGGGCCCCCTTATCCATGATTATAACCAGCCACTTTCTCCCTGTCAAGGCAAATTCCAACGCTGTCATAACTTCATGCATGGCGTGACATATTGTATCAACATCAAAAGCTGCAGTGTTTCCTCGCCACACCCGTTCCGGCGGCGTGACGCTATTCAAAATACCCAAGCATCCATGCTAATCATTGTCTCCATGATCAATGCATTTTTGAAAACAATAGACAAAGAGGGGAATGTATAATGGTCAATTTCTTTTTGGGGTTATTCCCTCCTTGTCTCTCCTGGGAATGGCTTTCTGCCCCAGACGACATAGTAGGGCAGGTATGCGTGAATCGAAGAATCGGATACGTCTCGTCGGACTTCAACAAGAGATACCTGTAGCCACCATACTGTTAGCCATGATTTGTGCTTGAAATCAATCCAAGTCAATGATAACTCGCCTCAATCTGTTCGGGAGTCAGCCCGTATATGCGGTTAAAGAAGCCCAACGAAAAGGCACTCAGCCCCATTTGCATATTCAGCTCCATCATATTACCAACTTCTTTCAGCTTGGCATCTTTAGCCCAGCCATTCAGTGGAATCTTGTACACACGCTCGTGAACGTCAACGAAGCCCACCCGCTCATATATGCTTCGAAGATTGCATGCCTCCGTCAGCGGCCGCCGAGCCTCAGCCGCAGCGTTTAGAAAGTCACGGAACCACAATTCCAGCGCACTGTCCGGCTTGAGAGTGTCATCATCACAGTGGGGGACGGGGTACAGTTCCTGAGACTCGAGCCATCCGCCGGGCGTCAACGTGGCAAAGGCCTGTTGGGCAATCTGAGTCTCAAACGACTCCCAACAAGCACCTGTCGTCTTGGTATGAATGTAGTCGAATGTTTCGCTGTAGTCCCACGATTCGGATCTATGGATATAGAGTACGTGAAATCAAAATTAGCAAGCTGATTATATGACGCCTTTAGAGCTGGAAAAGAAGATTGGTAATATGAGAAGTAACAGAATTGGGAATGGATACTTACGAATCTTCCACATAGAATTCGACATTTGCGGGCACGGTCTCCGGCTGGATTGGTGATAAGTCTGTAGCCACAACTTTGGCATTTGGGAAACGATCGCCCATTGCAATCGCCCAATCTCCAACACCAGTAGCAATGTCCAAGACTCGTTTAGGAGGATGGTTATTTAGCGGTGCATAATAGAGCCTGTTGTTCATGATTTTCATGAATACCGCATCTTGTAAAGCCAGCCGCTCAATCTCTTGTTTGTCATTAGGGAAAGCATACGCTAAACACCGGTTCGAGTCAGTTATAGTTCGCAGTGGCCAAGTTGGGTGCGTTTGTGGTGCTTGGGAGTTTCTAATCTCTCACATCCTTCTCTATACGCGTGATAGGTACGGCCAAAAAGACGCGGGAAATTGTAAATGCTTTCTGTCAAAGACATGGACGAGTCCATTCTGAAAGTCTTGGTTAGCGTTTTGCTGAACAGATAAAAACAAGAGCATGGAGAAAACGGATTCAGGAGATAAAATCGGGCGTCGTCTACGTACATGCTCTCGGCCTGGGGCTACCAAAAGAAGCGTCAGCTATTGTCATGAAACCGACCGAAAGTAAGAGGGGGAAAAGGGTAATAACATACATCAGGTTCAATGCAGCTCTCGCCACTTGAACTAGGTGGCGAGTAATGAAAGGTGAATGGATAGCCTTCCAACTGTGAGGATGACTGGCCATTATTTGGCAGTGGGTGTGGATGGTCTCCCATTTTCAATCGCAGGCTCAAATATCGAGTAGGAAGCTATTAATAAGTATTGCCAAGGTTATCTGGGCAAAAGCGAACTTGAGTTGGAGAGTTGGAAGGACTGCAAAGGCGTATCCAGACGAATAAAAGAAGGAGGAGGAGAAAATCGAATATAATAGCGCAACCCAGCCAGTGTGTTGCAAAATACGCCTTGATAAATATTGCACTCGATGCTCGCAAAAACAAGAAAATGAGACAAAGACGCTGTAAATGCTATAAACGGTACGGCGCACTAATAGCACAAAACATAGAGCCAAAGCATCAAAGGCGGGAATGGCCAGAGGTGGCAGAAACAGCCGGGCGGAGCTAGGCCAGGCTGTCTGAGAGCAATAGGACAGAACAGCACGGCAACTGACAGACACCAGACATGTATCCACACTGACAACACCGAACCAAGCAGGCGGTAACGAAAGGGGGACCCAGACAAAATAGCCGGGACTACGATGATGCGCGTAGGAGGCCCGCATGAGAGAGACAATACACTGCGTGCTACATGTACTTGGATCTGTACGATGGCCGTGCCCTTGTGGCTGGGGGGTCGGACAGAGGCCATTTCCGTTTGCCCTTTTTTTCCATTTCTTTCGTTTTTTAAGAAGCCCTCAGCTGAGCGCTGCCAGGACCCAGAAATACATGTACGCACGGATGCTTCAGTGCCTCTCTAAAAGGGGTGGTCCAAGGCTGTATACAAGTGTGAAACCAAAGAGCCTCAAATTAAACATGCAAATCTGCCGAGAGTGGAGATGAACGATGACTGAAACTAGAGGATGAGGAGCTAGACTGCTACGGCAACGCGTAGGCGTATGTATCTTGCCCACGTTGTCTGTTCCAAACAGAACACCTCAATCCTGTTCCAGGTCCCGGGAAGCTGGTTGGATAAAGTGGAGATATGAAGGGAAGGGAAGGGAAGGGAAGGGAAGGGAAGGGAAGGAGGTGATGATGATAACTATAACCGGTAAAGAGTCAGACGGGCTTCAACTATCAAAGACTTCATGTAGGTAACAGCAGTAAACCGTTTTTCCTTGGCTAGCTTTGCCGTAACCATAGGCAAGAGAGCTACATCCTGAGGAGCATTTGCAGAACGCAACGCCTGCATTAGACCCAACCTCGTGGGCTTCTGGCCAGCCCAAGGGATCCATCCCACGTTGTTAGTGAGCGGGTGGCGGCTAAGGCCGACGGCGCCTCTTGGTCCGCAGGAAAGCCAGAATCCCAGACCTTTGGGACCGGTGGAGAACGGGCAATTATTACCCGCCAGCGGCTTGCTTAGCTCGAGGGCGGGTTGCCTCTAGTGAGTGACAAGTATCATCTGTAGGGAGAGACAGTGCATGTTGTGTACACATACATGTACACGCTCGTAATGCTATATACTATTACTACATGTAGGCGGTGCCCCTCAAAAGGACTGGACTCGGCGAGTGCATATCAACCACGCCATTAAGCGGCCAGGCATCATGCGACCCAGACCCATGGAGCGCGTGTGCTCTCCCGGTTGGTCGGGCAGATCTCAGATGTCGGCTCGACACGCCGCACTTTCGCCGCATTATTTGAAACCGCCGAGGATATTCAAATAGCAACATGAAGCTGGCTACATACGTGCTCTAGGAAGGGCAGACAGGGTACCCTCGTGTATCGTTTTTGTGAATAGGCCCAGCTTTACGGAACAATAACTCATCTCTGTGTCTGCATCCAGCCAGTAGGAATAGGCATAACGGGAAGAGGTGTGCTACATATATGTACGGAGCCCGACTCGGATAGGAGTGAAAGTCTCGGGAGCCGGGAGCTGCATTAGCTGCATAAAAGGTAGGATCTTTGATGCTGCTTGCTTTTGCTATGCATGTTCTGTGGTCTTTTTCGGTGTATCCTGTGGCTGTTGTTGTTTAGATCTGCGAGTCTGTCTTGGAGAAGCCCTCACGGTGGAAGTACAGGGAGGGGCCAATATGTGTGCTCTGCTCCGTATTAGTCGTCTGCATGCTTTGCGGCCCCCACGACCAGCAATAACTTCTTTTAGTACCGAGCCATATGCGACGGCAAAGAGCCGTCCGCGGCGCCGGGCCGGAGGGGATAACTGAGCTAGAGCCAGGCATTGCCAGCTCTCTGGTACTCCGTATTGCGAGCATTGAAGTTTGCTACGGCACGTGTAAACATGACTTTACGTAGCCTCAAGCATTCCATACAGCTTCTTCCTTGCCCACCCACGTTGAGTAGCCCGGTCAGGTTATGCTCCCTGGCTCAGGTAGTGTAAGTGAATGTGCTTATTCGCGTAGATAGGTTAATCCTTGGCTGCAGGGCGGCTAGAGCAAGGATTCGCAGGCCTCGTTTCTTGGTCAGGGGGTCCTTCACGCCATGATCATAGCAACATGAAGGCTTCTTAATAACCAGTGATCCATACTTTCATTTACCTATTACACACCATAATGTACTTTCTCATCGTGGACGTAGAAATCTCCCAAATTGTCCTACATTTGTCCATATCAAGCACCTCACACCAAGTAGTAGTGAGAATCCTGAATGGGATAATATTCAGCATAGCATAACACGGCATCTCACCTTCTGCGCTTCTCTCCTAAACAATACTCACGAATAGGCTTACAGAAGTTCCCAAAGCACAGCATAATACCACATAGTAAGCACTCAAGCCACTAAATTACCTGTACTATTGCCGGCCCCCAAATTGACAGATAGCTTTTGTGCGACGTCCAAAAAGCACAAACATCCTGCATATTGATTGCTCTACACACCAACACAAGCACGCATAAACACTAGGACAAGCCACACATAATATCCCGGCCTCAGCAGCGGCGTCCGCTCTGCGGGTCTTGGACGCAATAGCAATTTGTTCTTCTCCCTGGAAAAGATGAGTCCTTGAAACGCTACAATCTGGCAGAAAGTGGCTGCAACTCGGTGAGCTAGTTCGTACACGCCATGCATCCTCCCCCAGAGCATCGCTCCCTAGGACTTGTTTTGCTTCTCAAAATCCCTACCTCAAAGGCATGACTCGGAATTCGGCTCCTCCGGCGAGAAACGAGGCCCTCTCTTTGCTTGCTTCTAGGGTGTGGGACACTATCAACTCAAAGAGGCCGTTGTCGTGGGTGCCAACAGCCCTCTTGCCGTGTCACCATCTCACTTCCCGACAATGTGGCACGTATTACTACGGAGAATTGTTAAAAGTCTAGGATGATGCGAGTAAGACTAAACAGAATAGGTATAACCATGATCATCATCCTGGCTTACTACTACGCAGTTGCCGATGAACAAGGTTAGCAAACGTTAGCGAGGATCAGAAATCTCGCGCCGCGTCGCGACGGTCAATCGTACAGCAGCGCCTTTAAGAGCTCATAGTACATAGGACCAATGATATTTTTCTTTCAAAAACTCCGTTCCAATATCCTTCCACACTCTGTACATGAGACGCACGACTGATGCCATAGAACACCACTAATGCACGAGATAGTGTATACATCTTCCGGCGCCGGAAGCTATGCGAATAATCCAGCTTGCCGTCGGCAAAAACGTCATGAAAACTACTCGTCATAATATGATTGCAAGGGGGTATTTCAGCTGACTCCTCGTTTAGCTCTTCTGTTACGCAGGCTCAGCAAGGATCACCAATTCATAATGATATGTGACAAAAGTGCAAAAAACCTACTGCAGGCATGGATTTAGTTGTATAACAGAGCAGACCTTCCCTTCCAGTAAAAGCCCATCCAATGAAAAGAGTGGCAAATTCTGCTGTGCAGCCCAACTGAATACACTCTGGGTCATACGATCTTACATGGGAAATTACTCTTCGTACTACCTACTATTGCGTATCAGAGCTCTCTCTCCTTTACCGTTGAAATTGTAGCTTTCGTATTTCCCTCCTCCACATGCATCAACGCATAAATGTTATTGAGGCATTACTGGCCAACCGAGCCCCTTCATGTTACAAATGGCGATTAGTATTTCGGAACTTTCCGCAAGAAAGTCGGAACTGTGCCACCTCTCTCAACTGGTCTCCTCGCCATGGAACACAGAGCTCGCATCGAGACATGGAAAATAGTACGATCTCTAGAGCTAGAACGTAGGTCTAATATTTACACTCGCACGAATGAGATTTTTCTAACCTTGCTCCTGGGGACTCGGCAGGTGTTTTCCAAAGTCTTAGTTGTAACACAGAGAAAATAATACCCCATCTTGATAATGTGCGTCATACAAGACGACACGAACATACATACATACAGACCTACTGACTGCAAAAAGAAAAAAAGAGACAAATCCGCCTAACCTTCTTTCAATTTTAATAGTAGTATAGCATTATCGTAATTTTCCATCTGAAAACTTCAGCTATCCAAACCCTCCTCCCTTCACTTCAACTCACAAAGCGGCCCCCTTCTATTCTATCAAAAAGAAATATGTGCTTCCACAATCTGAATTTTTTGTTTTTCGTTTTGCTGCGTCCATCTGAGGGGGTATAATCTAACTTGTGGCCAACCACGACTGGCCATACAAAGGGAAAGGAACATATATATGTATAAATATAAATGTATAAGGAAAGTAAAAGAAAAAAAAAATCGCCAGTACTTGTAGTTTTCATAAAGGTGATCGGGGGAGGGGAAAACAAAAAAGAAAACGCAAAAACATCAATCCGTTATACTCTTCACTCATTTCTCATTCTTTTTCTTTTCTTTTTTTTATCTTTAATAGTCGCTGCTTTGGCCGGGACTCATGATTCCGCTGACGGGCGTGTCCTCACCGTTGGAGAGGAACGACTGGTCAATCCTAAAGATCCAGTCCGTCTTGTCGCGCTCGCTGCGAGCCGCAAAGAGCCATGTGTTGTCTGTCCCATAAATGGCAAATACAGCTGCTTGCATACGTTCGCTCAGGCGCTGAACCCCTTGTCCTGCAGACGATCCTCCTCCTCCGCTACCATTAGGCCCAGTCCAAACAGTTGAAATGACCCGTCCTGAAGCCGTTCGTCGGTGACCTGG